AATTTCCCATTGAAATGAAAATATTTTTGATTTAGAATCCTTAAAAATAAAATTAGGTTAATCCTACAATTCTGACTAGGGAATTGCCTGAGTTCAAAGCTGATGTACCACCCGTGAACATCACTCTGTGAAAACATTACACGTTATGAATAGACCCCTTGTGAAAAGATCAACTCTTAGTGCCTACCACTATCGCTTGTTTGTTTTAAGAACAAATTAACTTCACTAGCTCAGGAGTTCTGACACGGGCACTCAGGCTAAGGTTCAGCTGGCAAACAAAGTAATTTAAAAAAATGCTGTGATTCTTTAGTGCAGAGAGCTAGTGCCTGCCAGTAGATCTTTACCTGTGAAAAAGCTTAAACTGTATTTCCTTTTATGTAGGGATCTGAGGAGTACTTCCAGCCTTTTGAGGACTAAGAGGGCTAAGCTACTTAGACGTAGAGTATTTCAAATCAATCCCCAATGAGTAGAAGGACACTGTCTTGGGTTTAGAAAAATCATGTGTTGAATCATATCCGTTTGAACCAGGATTGCCTCCAGGGAGGCATGTATGCATTACTACAGGTGAAACTTCTCAAGGGAGGGCAACAAGAAACACAGCAAATTACTGAGCATGAGATCAGATGCAGCAATTGTATGTATGCTCACAGACCACAGCAAGGTGAAAGTAATTCAGTTTTCTTAGTAGTCTTTCATTGTTAGGTAAAATGACTCATATTACTTCGTAATTGATTTATGGCAAGAGCATAGTCACTGAGGTTGGTCATAGCTTAGATAGTGCTCAGCCATTACTACTTGCCCATGCTTTAACTTGCTCATAATCCACCTTTTTTTGACAAGGGAAGGACTTCTGCTTCAAGCTCTGTAACCCATTGAGAATATGAGTCTGAAATAGATATTTCAGAAGAGATAGAAAACTTTGAAGTAAATACCGGTTCTAGGTTTTGTCTGTCATTAGGCAAAAGTGATCTTCAGATTAAATTAGCTAATTCAGTAACAAAACCAATAGACCCTAAAAATTAATACAATGAGATGCTAAAGGAATAAATTTAATTGGAAGTTAACCTTAGGTCTAACTGTAGCTCCTGACTTACAGCTGTATATTGATATTGGTTAGCCCAATGGAGTAGGGTAGAATGAGAGAGTGAGCAAAAGCTTTGGTATATTTTCTCTCAGAGCACAAGTCAAAGGAGGTGCACGTGGTTAAATATTTCGAAAGGCTTCTTTGACTGCCTTAACCAAGACAAGCAACTTCTTCAGAGGGTATTTGTTGAGGCAGTGTCACGAAGGAAGACATTGACAGAAAGTGCTAGGAGAAGCGTGTAGCTCAGAGAGTCAATAAAATGCTGGGAGGAGACTATTGTATGTATGAAATAAACCCATCAACCACTATTTCTGTAATATTTAAAGATCCAAACTTGGGCACTCAAAGCCAAATCATCAGATTATTTGTGGCACTCTGCAGTCTAAAGTAGTACTGTGCGCTGATAATGACTTATTTTGTACTTATGATACTGGACTGAAACTTCTTCATACAAAACCTTTCAAATCTGTGGTTGAGGTAGACCTGTATGATGATGTGAGAAAATTCATATTTAAGATACATCACACTGAAGCATATTGTGTTTCCGCTTGCTCTCTCTCTAAAACATAGCACTGCCATATCCAAGAACTTCATATATTGTAGATGTAATAAAATCATATACAGTATAGGAAATACTAGTCCAAACCACTGCTCCCCTGAAAATCAAGTGCTATTTTCATAATGGTCTCAGTGATCAAGATGAGACCCGTCTATTCCCTTTCTACCAAAGCAAAGGTGGTACCACTTCCAGCAGACTAATGCCTGGGAAGGTAATCATATACACAGTGTATGTGATAGTCTTGATTCAACAAAGCTTAAGCATGTGTTTAAATGCTTTGCTGACTCAAGATAGAGTTAAAGACATGTTAAGTGCTTTGCTGAATGTGGGCCCAATTTTTGCCAAAAGCGCAGTTAAATCATGAAACAACTTCAGGGCTATGAAAGATTGCCAGCCTCAGAACAAACCAGTTTAAAATGCCTTTTACATAAAGAGTGGACTTAAATAATCCTTTTAGCTGTGATTTGTATTTAAATAACATTTAATTTTGACCCTCTTTTATTCTCATTATTGTTACTTTCGTGTATTAAATAATTTCTTTTTTGTAGTTAACTTGCTCCCCCTGCCTTGCTCTTTAAGTAATGCCATTTTTGTGTTACCAATGCAACAGTACTTTGCTGCATTGCATAGAATGGACTGTGGCATTTAATAATATCTAGTAATAACAAAAGAAACAAGGCTGCATTTTAGTAAAAGTATCTTCAGAGTTCACTATGATGTGAAAGGAAGTATAGGAAATTATTTTAAATCTATATAATCCTGAAACAGAGGGTACTGTAAAGAACGTATAAATGCAACAGTAGTATGCCAGGCTATGAGACTGGGCATTTCAACATCCTAGTCAAAGTAGCAAAAATATACTGAATTCTAGGCCATTTACTCAAAAATATTTTAAAAATTATTGAATAAAAACTGGATTTCAGATTAGAAAGCTTAGTGTAAAATAAGTTATTTCATGCTGCATTTACAATAATCCTGTATGTAAAGAATTCAAGGTTGTAAAGTAGAATCTTCTAACATTGGAAAATTCTTCCCTTTGAGGGCGGACATGGTGACAAGTCAAGAATTCACTTTTCATTTCCCCTTCAGAGTTAGATAATGATCCAGTTTATGTAATCCTGCAGACAATTTAAGACCTCCTAGTCTGCATGAGTTTCTCAGACTTGAGCTGGGATGAAAATGTCAGTGGGTTGGAATGATTTGTGGAATTTGTCTCCATTCACATAATAGATTCCTTCAGATGTTAAGAAATAGCTGAGTGATGGCTGCAATAGCAGCAAGGTTTTAGCAGGTAAGGATATAATGCATTCCTGGCAAACCAGGAGAAGTCTCAGCTGTGAGGCTTTGCTAACACTAGCGGGAGCTTTCTGGGACAAACAGGTAAGGACCAAGACCCGGTTTCTCCTATCCTTCTGCGGGTTGCTAGGGACTGAGGTCAGATCACTTCCACCTACTGTGCAAAGACAGCCAAGCCTCCAACTCTCTTTTTAATAACAGAAGGAAAGTAAGTCAGAAGAGATGTGATATTTAACTACCCAAAGAGCTAAGGTGGGAGAGAGAAGACATACTTACCTGGACCGGAAGGAAAGCATCTGTGATTGAAAAGGACTACAGAATGATCCTGAACCTAAACAAAAGGACCCTGAGCAGCAGCATTAATACAAGTAGGGTTTTGTTATTTTGTTTACCACTGTGTATTCACCTGTTACCTGACTGAAGATTCATTTCATCTTGTAATAAACTGCAAAACCTATACATATGCATGCAATAAGCTACCTCTGTCATTTGTCCCTGAAGAGTTAAACTGTAAACCCAGAAAATGAACCCTGAGAATGGCTGTGCATTATGAAAAAGTCTGAAAAAGATAGCACTGGGGACTAGAAAACCGAACAGACTATTCCAGCTACTAGAAGAATTTTCTTGGTAACACCTGTACCGCAGAAATACAGTCAGAGATGTAAACTAGGGGCAGTAGCTGCTTATAAAAAGAAATTCCAGGGCACACAAGGGCACTGAGACATAAGATCCTGAAGAGATTGCGGGATGGCAAACTCTACTAGGGCCATGCCCACATATGGTGAGAGAGAAAGAGGAAGAAACACTGTTCGTCTCCTTTTTGTCTTTCCAAAAATACTTACATGGGGGTGTATAACATATAATTTACACTGTTTTTTGATGTCTCTTCTCTTGGCTGATACATCTACACAAGAAGAGAATAAGAAGATGGACGGATGATGGAGGTAATGTGGTGTTGTGAACAAAATACATCCCTGACTTGTGACTTGAGAGACCTACCTGACTGGGAGAAACCTGAAAAAGAATCCATGATAATTTTGCCTGTTCCACTGTGTTGGTAAATTACTCAATAGATGTGCTGAATGTTATTAATCTTTTGTAACATTTACATGGTTTTAGCATTCTTTCTATGTACTTCTGTCCTATAGGTGATCGTTAAAAGACAACTAACGAGCCGAGCTCCTTAGTCAACCTTTCCTCCATTTCAAACCATACCTGCTGTCCCATTAACTTTGTGTTATTTCTTCATTTTTTAAATAGCATAGGACTGGTGTAAGAGTCGATCAGAAGATCAGTGTTGTCTCAACATTTTCATCAGCGACTAGGCCCCTAAAACCTGGGGTAACAGCTTGACATGAGTTTGCAGCAGCTCACTGAGCTGGCTGTCATGAGACTTAGAGAAAGGACTGAGGTGTGACCATTGTACATGGGTACGAGCCATGTCTATTCCTTGGTATGAAAGTACAGACAATATCAGAACATGGTACAAGCCTATTCTACTGGAGCAGCAAAGCGAAGAACTGCTGTTGAAGAAGATGGACAGCATCGATGAAGTAATCTCGAACCTCAGTTGAACTTTCCTCATTATAATGTCATTATAATACAAAAACACACCTCCTGGTAAGAAGCTACCCACCTCCGAAGCTGACCACGCCTCAGACACTCCTCTCTGGGCATGTGTGGAAGCCTTACTCCAGACAGGCGGAGATTGGCACCTTTCGACGGGACAGAGGGGGAGTGGAGGGGGGTCCGAGGAGGAGCGATGTGTGCTACCTAACATAAAAGATGGTTCCTCAACAACTGATCTCCCGAAGGTCTTCCCCACGGAAAGACCACGACGGTCGACGAAGAAGCAGCGGAACGCCTTCTGGATTCGAGACCCTTGGGACGCCTGTGGACCCGTGGTGGTAGCTAGAATCCTCTTTCCCCCCTTTTTACTTCATCTTTCCTATTCTTCTTTCTTTCTATTGCAAGCCGCTTTACGGGCAAAACCAATAAAGTAATTGTGTGTTGAAAGCATAACTGCCTGGGCCTGATGCCATTTCTGTTTGTGCTTCGAGATCACAGCTGAAACGAACCATCACGCGTCCACCGAGGAGTGGAGCATGACAACGGGTTATACCATATGGCAGGTACAAAGATTCTTCCCTGCTGACATTTTAGGTACTGTTGTTCACCTTGAACCAAGAATTAAAATAATTTGTCTGTTAAGTAAATGCCACCCATTACCAGTAGAACCAGTAATTCTTCCTGCATTAGGCAGAGGGATCTGAACCTCTTCAACTGATCCTCTGACCAGGTTTTTCAATATATGTTTATATATGTGTTCTAATATTCTGTACTTACCTCATGAACTCATTTCCCATACAATTTCCTATATAATGTCATTTTTTTTATTTTTTTCTTTCCGCTTCTTACCAACAGTGGAAAAAACAGAGGAATAATAAAATAATAATAATTCTAGCACAAATGACAGAGTCAGTTTGAGAGACTGGATGCAGTTGACATCTGCGCACTTAAAATTGGCCACTTGTCTGTCTTACTTATTTTACTCCTGCTGGGTCTGAACTAAATTTCACTGATTTTCAAGGGGTAAATGGTGCTCAAAAAGAGTTTCTGTTATGAACCCAAAGGGAGCAATGAATAAGATTTTTTTTTTTTTGGCATGTGTGTGCAGAAGAAGATGGAAAAAATTAGGCATTAAAAATCAGTAATTAGGCAGTTAAGTGACAGTACAAAATCTGTTAAACATACTGTAAAATTAAATTAAAAATTGCAAGACCATTCCAGGGAAATTCTAAGCTGCAATTAGGATTTAATTTTTACGGTGTTGAAAAGAGTTAGATCTGATTTTTAAATCAGGCAAATCATCAGGGGAAAGCACTATCACTGGTGCTTCAAGAAGGTGCAGGAACGTTGCCTATAATGTGAGGTTGTCGCATGAGAGGGACTCTCAGTTCCCATCCCTGACCCAAGCTGCAGGAGCACGAGGGGGTCAGTGGCACCGAGGCTCCTTGCACCCTGCTGGGGAACTTGGTCACCCTTCTGCTAATTCCTTCTGCTCCTTGCATGGTTGACCCTATCTCACGGTCTCCCTTCCCTGCCCTGCACAGCCATGCACTTGCTTTCCTCATCGTGCCAAACCAGACCTGGAAAACTTACCAAGGTGAGGTGTAATGTGCCGGTGCCCCACCACTGAGCCAGAAGAGTTGGCAATAGCTGCAGGGCGTGATGCTCGGCGCATTGTGGGAGCTTTTCCCAGATGAGCCTCCACGGGGACAGGGGCGAGGGAGCAGGTTTCCCTCCCAGCTGCCTGTCCTGCCAGAGGATGGCAGGATGAGGCAGGTGCTCAGCACCTGCAGCTCTGGCTCTGAGAAACCCTCCAGAGAACACACCAGGCCCAGCAAACACCGAGTGCCTGAGGAAATCCCATGGAAGAAACCTGTGCCCCTCCTCATGGAAAAACAATAGCCAGATATTTTGTTAGGTTAGGTCACTCTCAGACCTGCCCTCCTGGCACAGCTGTGGAGGTGATGCACCGTGGTGAAAGAAGTTGAAACTACAGTGGGGTTTGGGATGGGGACATCATGAGACAGTGTCACTGAGGAAGGCTAGTGTCAGGGAATATCTTCATCTCTGGTTTCTCCCTGCAGAATAGCATCACTTGCATGGATCTATGAAACTGTTCTGCTTAGAAGCCAAATACTGTGCTCTCCAGCCCAGCTTCAGCTGGGTGCCAGAGAGGTAAGTTTTTCCAGTTAGAGAAAACACTACATTTGAAAATATCCACTTTGAAAATAAAGTAACAGAAGTTGATTGAAGCTAGTTTCCTAAAGTAACCATCAGTTTCCAGATGCAGAAGCTCTCACAGACATTCCGCATTCACTTTCTTTGTTTTCTCCATATAAATATATGGAAATAAAAATAGTGCACAGTGTATTAGACAGGGTTTTCTTCACCAGTGACATTAAGACCAGGAACATATGTGATCTAGAAGCACTGGAAGATGACCAGCTGTGCTCTCAGTCTGTTCAGTCTGTTAACAGGACTAAACCTTCAGCTTTAGGCATTCTGGGGTACAGGTTGCGATGTAATAAGATATGTGGAAGAAAATGAAATATGAAATTGGATAATGTATTTAATTTACTGTACTAATAGGTAGCAGTCTTGTTATGATGTTGCCAAACAAGCATATTTAATATTTTGCTATGGTGAGTTATTCTGGGGGTAAATTAATTTTCAGAGAACAGTGCCATTTGGGGAGGGGAAATAAAAATGTAGAAGTCAAAACCTACTGCTCTTTATCACTTTTAAGGCAAACTAGATATTTAGAAATGTGTCAGAACAGACAAATTATTTTTTTCCATAATAAGCTATGCCAGTTTTTCCCCTTTTCTTTATCTTAAGCAGATTACTGTCATCACCATTCTTGCCAACAAGCAGACTCATTGGAATATTTTTCATAAATGAACACAAATATTGGATGCAAGCAGGTGGAATGAATTAATTATAAGCATATGGTACTAACATAACGATTTCTGCAGTGTACTGTCGAGACATCTAAGGGTCTAGCTATACAACACACTTTGGCAACAAAGCTGCTTTAAGAAATTATCAGTTACACATATAAATGTTTGTGGAGCCAGACTTACTGAAATGATCCAGACTGAACACCCTGACACAAACACACACATTTCTAGGACAGTTTTTAGCTGTAAGCCATGGCAATGGTGTGCTTTACACCGTTCTCCCAGTTGTGTTAGCACAGCTGAACACGGTGTCAAACAAACACAGCAGGCAGAGACTGGGAGCACACGCAGGGAAATGGCGCTTCTCAGGCCAGATTCACACAGGACACCATACAGCTGTACAATATGGCCTACGATAGCTTATATTGCAATTGCAATTCCAGTCTGCAAGTCCTGTTGTGGTAGAGGCAACTGAAGACGTTCCTGGCTTGCACTGATCCTTGACCAACTCCCAGTCTCCCCTACTGATGCAAGTTATTATTTCCCGTATTCAGTCGAGGAGATCTCTGAGATAGACCACTGAAAAGGTCTGAATTAGAGAAAGACAGATAGAGAATAATCATAACCCCCCCCCCAAAAAAAAAAAAAAAAAAAAAAAAAGAAGAGAAAAAGATCCCAGATCTGCATAGAAGCACATAGACACATACAGTGGAATCAGCTGGAGGCGAGAAGCAGCAGAGGGAGTGGGCTGGCAGCTCCTGCGATGATAGCACCAGACACAGCTCAGCAGCACAGAGCCTGGTACAGCATCACCGCCCTATTTTAGAGTAGAATAATACTACAGTTTTATATTGATCCTGTTTTCACATGCAAATTCCCATTATTTTTTTTAAAGTTAATTTAAGATGTAGTAAAATTACAAATATCTTGAATATTTAGATTGTTATTCATTATAACAGGTTTTATTAAATTAAGCAGAAAAGTGATGCGGCATTTTTGGAGATGGTTGTGAAGCAGTAGAGATGAGAAATCAAAAAGTGGTAGATTTTTACAATACAGTCTGAATTCAGATACAAATTTGTGCCATTTTTTTGCTTTAAAAAGGTTCTCATGTCTTCTCAGTGCATATTTATGCTTATCTAAGAGCTTAATCTTTGTAGAACCTACTGTGAGACCAGCATTTTGAAAAATCAGATCCCCTTCTTGAAGTGCTCGAATTCAGCTTCACATCGAAACTCATTTCTGCAATATACTGCTTTAAAATCAGTCCTTAGATTCATATTTGTTTTTTCGTCTCCAACCCTGCAGAATGGCCCAATGTGGCACCGCATAGCTGCCATGGGAGGAAAAGAAGCAACCATAATGCTAGAGATCAAAAGCAAAATGCTTTTGTTCTTAACAAAGATTGCACATATAAATTATCGCAATAATTTAGAGCAAACAGACAAAACCCCCCAAACCACTGGCTTTTGTATAATCCAGCAGATGGTGCTATGATGCAATGAACTAGTTCAAGAATACAAGAAATACACTGAATGTGAACATTTTATTCCTTTACCTGGTGCTGCTGCTTTTTTGTTGGCTGGTTTGGCTGCAGGAGCTTTTGTTGGTTCTTAAAAAAAGAGAACAAATTAAACCAATTACTACAAAGTGTTACATCTCAAAAAAAAAACAGAGACCTGAAGAAAGGCTTCCAATGAGGTACAGCCTGCAGCATTTTTTTTCACTGAAGAATTAGACAAAGAGATTACCTGAACAGAAAAGAGCTGAGTTGCCTTCAATAAATTCAAAGGCATCAACAAAATAACATGCCGAAGGGCTAGTATACTCTTGCTGTTAGGCATTGCGTCACTTCTCCTAGATTTTTCTCTCTAGAAATTCAATATCTATTGGCAAAGCAGGGCAAAGCAGGTATCTAGGGGTTTGGGCACAGCCTCACCACTCAGACAGCAGATATGGGCTGGGAGCCTCTGCATTTGGTCTTACAGCTATGAGAGCAGAAGGTCCTGAACCAGCCTCCAGCAGCTGGTGAGTGTCTGTGAATTCAGCAGTGGTGCCTCTTGGGATCCCACAGTTATTCACTGTGGCATCCTTTCCTCTAACATGAACCTCTCTGGTGAGAAAAAATGAAATTGGGCTACTTCTGCAAAACACATTCCCAGACATGGTTACATAAGGACTCTCTCTCCATCCCGAGGAATGGAGGAGCATTAAGAGAACAACTTCATGTTTGATCCTGCACTTGAAAGAGCTACTGCTTGGTCCTCCTAGCAGAGAATCAGGCCTTCTCAGGCTGCTTAACTGTAGTACTTCTGTTCTTGGTCTTTCCATGAAACATTTGCACTATCCTCTCTTTGCTGAAGTAGGACATTTGCTTGCAGAATGAAGGTCCAAATGATGAAGGGTATGTGCGTCCCCAAGCAGACTTGGAGAATCTCAGCCCTGGATAGAAGAACCTAACTAGCTTACTGGATTTATTTACTGTTTACCAGTGTTTAGTTAATCATTTTTATCCTCAGGAACTACTAAAACAGACTGTACTTAAACCACAATAATTTAACAAATACCCATAAAATAAACTCCACCGACTTTCATAGTGGATTTTTTTATATCAGCTAGAATATCCTCTAACTTAAAATTCACATTCCCATATTGTGAGAGGAAATAATTAATCATTTTAATCACAATCTGAATTACAGAATGCCAAAAAAATGTTAGTTAATCCTTCACATCTGTCACTGTGTTATTACAAAGAAAAAGAATATGGCTAAATCAGGAATGTAATTTTGAGTTCTTCCCCTCCAGTCTTTTGAGAAGTTCATAAAAGATGCATCAGATCGTCTTGTGAAACAGAATGAAAACAAAATATAGTTTGCATGTGTGGGATTGTTTTGTTTCCATCCATTTAAAAGTCTGCAGCAGATAATTATATCGTAACTTAGTTATTATCACAGCATTGTAATTACTTGGGGTGCTCACCCCTCCTTCAGGGAAATATGTAGAAGATCTTGAAGAAGAGTTTCCTTAGTATTACTTTCCTGAGTTCCTACAGAAGAAGCAGGAGATACAGCACATAGTCTACAAGTGACAAGATGGACTTAATGCAAAACTGCAGAACTCCTGCATTTATTCTCTTCTGAGCTCTCATCTAGAGCTTGCTCTTCACCAAGACATTTTTTTGGGGTTTGGGTTTTTTTTTTTTTTAATCTCTGTGAAAACATATTAAGTTAGGATTCTTTTTGTTCTACCAAGATTTTTGTTTTCATTTGAAATATTTCATTTCTGAGCAACTAAAATAATTTTAATTGAGGAAAAAAAATTAACTTTAAGGAAAAACATTTTGACCAAAGCCTTCTGTAATTTATTTATTAATTTAACTTTTCAGTAGCATAGAAACAAAAGTGTAAAATGTTTTAAACTTTTTTTTGGAAGCATATGTTTTTTAGTTTATAGTTCGCACATTATTTCAGCTCTAATGGCTCTGCATCTTTACATGAATAAGTTTCAGCCAATAATTTCACCCTGCAAATTTCACTCATGTGATGGAGCTGGGAAGTTTTGCCATGACAGCTGCTGGGGAGTTCTCTCATGAGAGGAATCGTGCCCAAATCAATAGATCCTTTAAGACCTGCTTGCAAACAGGCAGTTAATTCACTAACAGGACGCTACTTGTAGTGTAAGTCCATTTTGAATCTTTTGTTCAATGTTTCCACAAAATTTGAGTAGGAAACCAAGGTATAAGCTTTTCTTGATTGCCAAAAGAAGTGTGATTCATGCAAAACTAAGGATGGCAGGGGATTCTTCTGCCAAACAAGTCTGAAAGATCACATATGGAGATGGGAGTCAGTGCGTTCTTTAATTATGAATTTGAATGAGATATCAAAACCCCATAGCTTTCTTAATCTTCCTTATATACTGTACTTTCAGAACAGAGATCTAAACAGATGAAGTCTGACCAATGAAACTCTCTTACTACCCTTACTGTGTTGAGGCATTGATGCTTGCAAATTTGTAGAAAAGGAAGGTGTAAGAGTTCCCTGGTTAACACTAGCATCTTCTCAGAACATTTTGGGCGTTATTTATGCAGAAGAGCCCAGCAACTGCCTCTCTTCAGCCTCAGAAGTCTCTCTGAATCTGAAGTAACTACATAGGCAAGGCCCTTGTTTCGCATTTGTGAAGATAAAGTTGGTGGTCCTCAGCATGTTGGAGACTCAGTCTTCTCAGTCCATTTACCAAACTTGCTGCCACAGAGACCACATTCAGCTGAGACCTCATTTGACATTTCCTTCCCCATGAAACCTTTGTTTTTGAAGACAGTGATAGCAAAGAGGGGAAGGCAAAACTGTCAGTCACAGAGAGGAGTGTGGAATCAGAAGTAGGATAAGAATGGATTTAGAAAGGAGGAGGCAGCTGAAGTCTAAACATGTCATTTTTCAATTATAAACGGTGTAGCTACTTTCTTCTTTGTATTTTCAACAATTCAATAGCTATTATTTCAGATTATTGAAACGTGCTGTTTGAAACTACATGACATATAAAAGAGATCATAACCTATGGCGCAGTAGTTTCTTACTTTTGAGTTCTTTGGACACAGCAGCTTCTTTTTTATCTGTAAGATAAAAGAACACATATGCATAAAAACATAGTTAGGAAGGATGTATGTAGACCGAAAGCTGCAGTGTGTGCATTACAGGCAAAACACTTATTTGCTGCAAAGTGCATTTGACTGAGGCAGTGAATCAGTTCACTTCTGTTTCACGGTACAGTTGCACTAATTTAACCTTCAGTGTAAATGCAACAGAACCTGTGTGAACATGAACATTTTTGTTTAATTTCAATATTTTAATATGTGAGATTTGACATGTGATTGGGTTACTGTGGCTTTACTACCTGAACCACGGTTGCACACCATGTGCACATTGTCAAGTTGCACAAATGCATGGGACAATGCGCTAGGAGCCTAAGAATAGAGACATGTAATGAAAGGCATTATTTTCCTACAATTGTTGACAACCATACCACTGAGGTCTAGTTTGGAAGAATCCATGTAACACCTAGCCAAAACTCCAGCTGCCACATATTTCCCTCATGCCAAAACAAATCGAATGTTTACAGCTAAAGAGAAATCAAGAGAAATTGAGCCATCCCTCCAGTCCAGCCTGAAGGAAAGATCCCTGCTTCTCCAAAACTTTTCCCAAATGTTCAATTAAAGTTCAAACTAATGCACTTCTTTCATGTTTGTGAAAAAGAGCACACCTATGATTCTTACTAAAACTAAGCCAACGTAGAATAGCTTATTAACCTGAAGAAACTCAGTCAGTCCTACATATAAGTGTAGGCAAAATCTATTCCTGTTTGATTTAAATAAAGTTAGAATAACTTGGCTATATCACAATACAGCATAGCCAGGCAGCCTACCAGAGAGACTTAACGAAGCTGTTCACCTTCATCTTCAGTTAAGGTAGCATTTTTGTGCCACTTTTTGGTAGGACTTTTTTCTGATGGTTGAGAGAAGATTTGGAATCTTTACTTAAGCAGGTGTAAGTGGGCAGAAATACTCAGTGACAGCTTGTCTCTCCATTATAATTTTAGGCACTATTTTACCTCAGGATTTTTATCTGGGTACAAAAATCGGCCATTTTTATAATCATACTTGGGGCCTTATGTATCTTGTTCACTAGTCTCAACTGCGCAAGTAAGAAATGGTTCATGGAGGTCCTGTGAGAAAGGAAGCAGAGATGCACAGAGTGGTGATAGAATTTACTCCCCTGGGTGCCCATGAGGAAATTAACATCCTCTCTAATAATCTATAGCGTGCCTAGAATATATGCAGGATAATGCTTATGTCCACAACATATACGAATGATAAATTAATTGTGCTTTTAAACACTAATACAAGAAATATTTCAGGGCAGAAGCTGCCAAAATAAGCAGCTTGCAAAACCAAGACTATCCTATTACTAATAATATGACAAAGTTGCTTCAGTTTCTGTTGCTCTCTAAATTGCTGTAAAAAAGTTGATATGAGATAAGGTAATGCAAATGACTGCCAAGTAGTCTAATAAAAAGTCTTGAAAAATTCAGGGGAAAATACATTTCTATTTGGGTGATATGCTGCTCTGAACTGAAATGTTTCTAGGTTAATCCTCTGCTTCCACTAACTCTCTGTGAAAGCATGTTTTGCAGGCATTACTTCAAAGTATGATAATTACCACATTTAGATGAAATTAATCATGAGGCAGCTTTCAGCCACGTTATCTGGCTAAGGAGCCTATTGAAGCCTTCAAGAAGTGCCTATTAGTTGCCAGATATGGAAATTTTAAAAAGTGTATATTGTAGCGATATGAATCATTTATCACAATAATCTTCTGTTGCTGGAGGTTATAAAAAAATAAATAAATTGGCAGCATCATTTACAGTAACAGAATGGATCTAAATAAAGCCCTCAAGTTCTTTCTTTCCCTTTTTCATATAAGTCATCATTTATTAGGACAACATACTTTAATATATTTTAGAGCCGTAATTTATGTTAAAAGAATTAATGTGTTTTTCCATCATCTGAAATACATAACATATAGTAAAGTCTGAGTGAATATCTAAACAAATTTTCCAGTAAGAAAATCTTATAATTTGGGGGTTTTGGTGTAATTTTGGTTTGGTTTGGTTTTTAAGAGCAGAAAAATTACCAATAGCTGATTCCAATAGCACAGGATGGTATGAAAATGTAAATATTTTTACTCTTAGGCTAGTCTTTTCAAGCCAAGGTGCCTAAAGTTTGATTTCTAAAGCCATACTTATGCAATGAGGCTGGAATGATTTAGAGAGAATTGTCCAGAGGAGGTTTTCTAAGATCTTGAACCATGAAGGTATATAACATTTACATCTAGTCACCTCACACTTGAGTGAAATAAATGACCTAGGTAGAAAGGATTGAACAATTGGTAGATCTCACAGAAGGAGGAAAAACTGATGAGGACTTCTGAAGTCCCTAAATGTAGTTACCTGCTACAAGGCACAAATAGCATGTAACTAAACAACTCAAAGGAAAATAATATCAAAAATGAATTGAACAATGAGTTATATTAATGCAATTGAAGTCAATGAGCATTTTGTCTCATTCTTTTTTGTGTTGCACAGGTCTAGGGTTTAACTTTTCAACTCTGGGAGTGTGGTTGGGGAATGCAGCTTATATTACATCAGGTTTTTATAGCCATCATGTCTTTTTCTTAAAAACAATAACAAGCTCTCTGGCCTCTCCGTGAGTCTGTTTTTGAGGATTGGTTAATTTCCAGAAGAAATTAACCTTTTTCAAACACCAGGGTTAGGCAACATATGAACATTATCCTAAACACAACCTAGGAAGTTTAATCCCCAGAGCTTTAGGTTATTTTCTCTTTAAAACTTTACATCTGAAGTGTGGCAACAGGAAAGGCAAGTGGATGGCATAAGGATGACACCCACTCTTCCTGGGAGCCATGTTACTTCATTAGGACCCATGTTAACACATGAACATCAGTCTGGGTGCTCTAGTAGCCTTGACCGGCAGCATGGTCAAAAGCATTGTGACTGTCCTTGGTATCAGTGACAGAATTAGTTGACATCCAACAACAGGGGATGAATTTTATTTTCAAGAAAACCCCCACTTCTACAACAACACAAAGCAATAAAAAAACCTTCAGCAGACTTACTATAGAAGATATAGTAAAAAAAAATCTGATGCTTCCGGTAATTTGGTGCCCAAACTGAAGCAGTCAATTTTTTAGAAGCTGCTGAGGACATGTTTGATATTCAGGTCCTCTTAAAGGACTTATGTAGATCACCCAAAGACTGAGCAATATAAAGTTTTTGAATACCTCTCACAACCCTACCCATGGGCTTTTTTTGAAAGCACATTTAACAGGCTTTAACAGGTTAAGCACCATAGCTAACAAAATCATTCATCAGCTGTGAAGGACTGTGAAGCACCCTTTTCTTTTTACAGTTATTCTCAGGAGATTTGAAGACAGTTGTATTCTGGTCTGTATTCTCAAAAAGCAAGCATGGTTGCACAAGCTCCTCTCTTCCCAGGTGAATGAATAAGTTTTTCTTTTACTGGTTCTTGAAAGAGATTAAAGTACAGTGAAACTTTTTTTAATTTTTATTATTTTATTAAAAAACACCAAATATTTAAATAAACATCATCTGACTTTGTTCTTATCTGTACAGGCTAAAAGGATCAATTTTGAATTCAAACTAGGAATGAGCATCTGGCAGCCAGAACTGATGTATCTAAATGAAACAGCAAAGCAGTACTTTATTCTTTTGCCTCTTTTTAGCACATAGCTCGATCTTTTCCTCAGGCCTCGATCAGCATTCTTTTGAAGTAAACTAGCAGTACACAGTAACTGCAAACGACATCTAAACTACACATGGGGCAAGGAAAAAAAAATCCCTCTAAGCTTATATAGTGCCTTTCATGCCAGTGAGTCCCTAGGAGGTTGGTAATAAGCCATTAGACAAAGGATGACCCAGCGCTCTATATAGAGTGTGGTTGTTTGAGTTTAAACAAACTTCCAAAATGGAATATTTCAAACATTGCTCTGAGGTGAATTCTAGATCTGGGGTTCACAAAACTTTTACACCTTTTTTAGCAATGGATTTATAGTGCAGTGTATATTGTACATTTGGGAACATCAGATCTTTAGTCGCTCCATACAACCTGTAACTTTTATATAAAAAAAGAAGTTCAGGGAAATAAATGGGTCTTCATCTGAACTCTCTTGAAAGGTTCTTCTGTGCTTTTTCTTCCTAGTAATCTGTCACTCAAATATACGTGTACAAAAAAAATCTTAAATTAAAAGTGTTATTCAGATAAATGAATATTTCAAAACCGATATATTGATAGCTGTGCTAATGATGCACAGTTTAAAATAGTTGCCAAAACCCACTTTTACTATTGGAAGCATAATTTTATATGTTGTATCTAAAACATTTCTTTTTGGAAGCTCACCAAAGAACATGACGGTAATATCAAATTTACAAACAGAAACTAGTTTCAGCATCAGTTGGCTACCACAGTGTCCAAACTAAACGGTAGCTAATATCCTAATCAAACATTGCGTAACCTGATAGCTAAGGTTAAGGATGCTAAGGATGCATGGATTCCTCTCTACTGGCTGATCTGGACTAAGCACCAAGACCCTGGGTAATTACTAGATTCATTACATTACATGCCTCTGAAAGACATGATTCACTGAATCAAAAGCTAAAGAGAAATTTGAAGTGTTAAGCGGTTACTAAAGGAGGAATTCTTGTCCTAAACCTCAGCTAGCACTGACCATCTACCTCCTCTATCTCTTAGCTGATGATCACATACTAGAATTGACTTAATCAAACCCCACTGATTGGCTAATAATCTACATAAATAAGAAAATAAGTTGTGTGATGAAGATGCCTCACAAGTGACCACAGCTCCACCAGCTGACTCAAAGAAGGTTTCTAATAACACTTTCACAAATCTTCCATCATTGCTGGGCTCTTATCTTTTATTTTGACTTAGATATTCAATTCATTTTGTAATTAAAAGTAGGAGAAGAAAAAAAGAAGAGGACAGAAAAAAGAACAGAAACT